TGCGTTAGCATACAGCAGTTTAGGATTCATTTTATGCAATGTGCAGTCTAAGCTGGTTGTTGTACCATGGGTGCCCTCAGTGGATCTCCTTTACTCTCTTTACTATTTCTTGCTCAAGTTGAAGAGCTGAACTCTTCAAAGCCTTCCCAATTACAAGGCAGCTGCCATGTGCCTGTCCCTCTAGCTAGCCTGCTAGCCTGGCAACTTCCACACTGTTCCTCCCTACCCTACACCCCTCTCCCCTTATGTACCAAGGGTAACAGGTCAGGAATAGCATCATGCATCTCCAGCTTTAATACTGCTATGAAACTAGTCATGCAGCCAGCCCGACTTGGGGATTGTAAGGAGAGGCATGAGTTCATAATAGATCAGCAGTCATTTCAGACAGCTGCTTGCGGTGCGATGCGGTGCGGCTGGGAGAGAAGAAAATGCACATGGAAGCCCATTTAACAGCTCTTCAAAATCACAGGCAAGCACTGGGCTAAGGGAGTTATAGACACAGACCAGAACCATGTGCCAGGCGGGCACTGCTGGCACCAAGAGATCCAGCTCCACAGCATTAGCTGCATCTTGGTGCTCCAGTCATCATCCACCCCTCAAAAGGCCAGAAGCTCACTCATACAGCAGGGTCCAACCTCAGTTTCCCTCCTTGGAGAGAGGCAAAAAACCCACTTTCCTCCTCTGCAAACTGCTCAGAAACCTAAGGTGCTCTTGGCATTAGATTGAGCAACCTCTCACATATTCTTGGCAAAACAGGATGCTCGCTAGCGAAATATGCCCCAGCAGGCGAGCTTGGAGAACGCATTTGCTATAGTCATATGGGAAAAAAAAAAAAAAGCCAAAAAAACAAAAAACTCACGTTCCATGGAGAAACTACCTCCCCCCTGCTCAAGCACAGGGAGCACTAGGGGTTTTCTAGACATCTGTAGCACATACCTGCGCCAGGAGAGCCATCCCTCTGGTCATTTCGCCAACAGCTGCATCAGCCTCGGAGGAGAAGTGATCCTCATCTTTGGAAAGATAAGAATAGGAGGAAACAAGTCAGACCCTAGCTTTCAGAGCAAAAGGACTATGAGGCTAATACAACTTGACCTCCTACAGATACGCCGGAGAACCTCATGCATTACTACCAAGGGCATTAGATGTTTACAGGGTATTCCTACTCTACCAATGCTTTGGAGGAGGGTTGATAAAGTTGGTCTAAATAAAAGATATCAAATCGAACCAAAAGACTATCTATCATATAGCCCTAGACCAATATAGCTGACCCCAGCAGAAAAACTCCCAATGCTTTGGAGGGGCAGTTTTATAGGAAACTTGTGCCTGCATTTGTAAAGTCACTTCAGTTGGAAGTTTGTGCACCAAATTAAGACGTGACCCAGCATTTGTTTCTTTACAGCCACTTGGAAGACAGTCCACTCCTTGTCCATTCAACTTGGAAAGGGCAATTAAAGTAGTTCCAGAAACCTCAGCTGTAGTCTTTAGGATTTACTTCCTCCAATTTGCAGCTTGAAGTGACATACCCTTCTTTTTTTTTTTTTTTTCCCCCACAAGGGCTCTCTCCCCGCACTTATACGGTGAAAGACTCAAGTACAAAGGCTACATAGATAGCACCAGGGTGGCAAATTCAGGATAAGAAACAAAACAAGAAAAATGTTCCAATCCATGTACTGGGAAACTCAGAGACTGCACTTGCAATCACAGGGAGAAAGCATAGGATTGTTGCTTTTAAACTTATGGCATCCCATTGGCTTAACCCAGCACAGAGTGCTATTCTTCTTCGGCGATCTCTTACCTGGAAGTGGCACCACATTGTCTAGCAGGACTTCTGCTCCTTGGAAAGGTAGTGTTACAAAATCAGACCTGAGAAGAGAAAGAAGAGAAGCGGTTTGAATAGGACTAGTTTTATCCTCATTACATGTTATTCTTTAGTCGGTATTTAGGGGGTTGGCACAGCAGGACTGCGTTTCAAATTAAAATGGTAACCAAAAAATAACTATTGTCCACTCAACAAATGCATGAGCAAACATCTGAGGGGAGCAAACTGCAGTATAGATGCTGGATTGGGACTTGGATCCTGTCCTAGCTCCTCACGCTTGCCTATCACCTGTGAAACGCACAATACCACCGCTCCCTTCCTGCCACCCTTGCTTTCATCTCTGCAGACTGTAGGAGATCAGGACCAGCACTTATGGGCTCAGCTCTTGATGTACAAGAACAATAGGGCCATGAGTTTATGTAGGTCCTCTAGGCACAACCGTAACACAAAGGAGACGGCAAAGCAGCTGCAGAAACTTTTAGACGAGCCTGGAGCTCAGGACAGAGGCAGAAACCACTAGCCTATGCATTGGCTTTCCTCTGAGGCTGTATACCCAGCCCAGCCCTTTCTGTCACCCCAGGCTCAGCACTGTTACAGCAGGCAGAGACTAAAAAGCAGACTCGCCACCCTCCATGGCACCACAGGACCAAGGGGGGAAATCCCGGGCCGGGCGGACGTGCGGCACATTCCTGCCTCATCGCTCCCCATCCATCCCAAGAGCCACTCTAGGAAGCTGCAAGAAGCTTCTAGGATGCAACACAGCCCACAACGTCTATTCCCAATTCTGCTGCCGGGAAACTTCAGCAAGTCATTTGCCTCTGCTCAGCAGCTTCCCCGCTGAAGCGGCAGGGCTTATACTCGCTCTTTGCTTTTTGAAGCGCTTGAATATTGACAGGAAGACAATGTTATACAAGAGCTGGGTCTAATCACCAAGGACCCCAGGGGCTGTTCCATCAGCAGAAACTTCCTGCCATTCTCCACTTGCCCCCTTCACAAACAGAGGCACCTTTACCTATCAAGCTGCGACACCCCATTACGAAGGGTCAACTGCGCGGTTCCAGACAAGGGGTGAAGAAGTCACCGACCTGATTTGCCTGAGGGTATCTATTTTAACTCTTTCGTATCCTCCGTAGTCCACGTATCGGATCTCCACTTCGCCGCTGTCTTTGAAGTAGCCGACAACTTGAGCCCGCCACCACGCTCCGTCCATGCCAGGGGCCGCACAAATAACGCCAACTGCCGAGCACAAGTGGGTGGGAGAGAGATTAGTTTGGCATTCGTGCTTGCATCTAGGAACCCCCGGGGAATATAAGCAGCATTATGCAACCTCCTGCGGAGCAACCAGGGTGGTACAATTCAAACCACCTGCTCTTCCAGAGGCTACGACACCCAGGGCTACATAGCAGGAGGGCAGCAAGCCCCAGCAGGTGGAGCACCGAAATGGGAGACAGAAGGCCTGGGTTTTGGACACAACTTGGAGTCACATCCTCTACACTCCCACCTCCTGTGGTGCCCTATGGAGCTGGTCACCAAATATGCAAGGGCCAGCTCTCAGTACGTGTGCATACCAGGCCCCTTAAGGCGATACAAAATGCATCTTTCCTTCCGTCTCCTGCTTATGATTATAGCAAAGATTTATAATCGTAAGTAAACTGTCCAATTTTGACATTACAGAAAAAGCGGCATTTGCAATTTTAGCGAGCAACTCTAAGGCCCCACGAGAGCATGCCGCGAATCCAAGCGGTGCTGGACAAGGTAGTGGCATCCACCTGCCGTACTTTGACAGCTGCCTTGACAGTCACCCAGCTGAGAGCATCTCTCCACCACCGCACACAGGCACATCAAGGCTACTCCCCCCTTCCAGCTCCTCAGTCTGAAGAGAAGGGAGGGGGATGCTTTAAGATGGTTGCCTTCTGTAAGCCCTGCCAGGGTATATTGCTTGGAGGAGATATGCACTCTAGAGAAAGAGCCGCGTCAGACATTCTGCTCCCTCGCTCTACATCACACACCAGCAGGCTGGAGGCAATGCCAGAAATTATACCTCGAAACAGGAGGAAGTGTTTGCAGCAAGGAATATAATCCTGATGCTATAATTAAGGTGCCAGCAGCAAACATCTTTGAAATGACACAAAGATGCTCTCTGACTAGCAATACTGGAGGGAGAAGAGATGCACAAAACAGCCAGGGGCTAGGGAAATAAGTACCACCCCCCCACAGACAAACCAGTAGGCCCCGTTTGCAGCAATGGCACTTGGCTTTATTACACTAGCTCTTGCTGGGTCAGACAGGACATTCAAAGCATTAAAAGGAGCAGCCAAAGTATTTCTGGCTTGGATCAACCTTGCAATGAACATAAGGACTAGGCTGAACAGCCAGCCTGGATCAAGCTCAAAGCCCACTGAGTTCAGAAATCCCATCTCCAGCAACGGCCAGTGTCAGACCCTCCAGAGGAAAGCATTCAACCCCTGCAGCAGGTAAACCCGAGTGATCTGCACCTCTCCCTAGGGACATAGGCTCTGGGGGCTGAAGCCAAGTGGACTTGGAGGTTCACTATTCCTTCAGGTCCATGCATACACACACAGGCAGACAGGGATCTCTGGCTAAGTCTGATATCTTTTATGAGACCAAATGGCTGCAAAATTCTTCCTGGTTAAGAAGATTTTTACCCCTGTGTGCACGCACGCACGCACGCACTTTTAACACAGCTTTAAAAACCTTGAATTTAAAATGCCAGCCATCCTTGGGTTCTCAGCATTTAGGAGCCTACAGGTTCCTTGTTAAGCTCGCTTAAATAAAATTTAAAAATTCCCCTATTTTATTAAAAAAAAAAAAATTAACAAGAGTAAATGGAGCAATTGCCTCCCAGGTTTTGGGGGTTTTTTTGTTTTATACACAGGTTCTTTCTTCTCTCACCCAATTCCAGTTGTCACTGATGCTCTGCCATCTGGTGACGAGCAAAGCCGAGACCATTGAAACGCCCCTTCCATTTTAGTTTGGGAGCAGGATGCCCACAAGCACAAGCCTGCACACTCCCGACTCAAGTTACACTGCATGAGGCTACTAAGAAGGACCGGTGACTGGAAGGTGACACTGAAATAAGGCTGCACGAATCCTACTTCTCAGAATCGCAGAAAACTACTCAACATAGAGGTTCGTGGGCAACAAGGTTACTTGCCTTCTACTGGCGTCGGCAAAGTCGGGATTCCCGGTTGCGAATAGCAGACGTACATCTGCTGGTCCAGACTGCGCAGGACGTGGAAGGTGGGGTGAGTGTGCTGCTGTACAAACATGTGTCCCGCGTTGACCTGGTTAACCACAACCACCTCTACGGTGACTCCATCGGGGAGCATCAGCTGCCACAAAGAGAATGCTTTCATTACTAGGCAGAAATGACACGACTACTATTTATTGCAAAGATGAGCAACAAACTCACTTTCACTGACCTCATTCATCTGAGCTCACAAGGGAAAGCTTAACAGCTCGCAAGCGCGATAGTGAGCCCTAGTGCAAGTTTAGAACCGATCAGTTGAGCCACTGATGTCCTATGCTCTGCCAACAGGCATAGTCTTAGGACAAAATCCTTCTGGGAACGGTTGGTACAACTTGTCAGCAGCAAAACAAGAAACCCTATTCAGGCACAGGACAGGGAGGCTAAAGGCACAGCAGTGCAAGCTCATCTCATGCCATCTTCCCTACATAGTCTAGTCCTAGTATTATACCAACTCCTAGGAGATGGAAATTCCCAGTTCATTTGAGCTCCTGGTCTTTCTACCAAGACTGCTTAACGAATAAGTTTGAGATGGAGGTTTCTGCAATAACACCCTCCCCCGCAACACACAGAGCTTATGCCCAGGCCTGTTCACAGGAGCCACTGCATATTGGGCCATTACTTAGGGCCTTAGATTTTACTATCATGGCTTACGCATCGGGTTTATAATGAATGTTAGAGGATAATGCAAATGAAGTTTTCAAGAATGAGCCCTGTGTTACTGCCTGTGGCAACAGGTGAAGGCCAATAGGGGTACGTAGCCAGGCAATATATAGAACAAATGCCTGTAAACAAAACAAAAGGAGATCATAACTTCCCGGCAACCCCTGGAAAGCAAGAGAGAAAGTGTTGCCTGGGAAGTGCAGAGACTAATGCTAGTTCTGAACAAGTGCAATAAAACACCATAATAAAAGGGAGAGCGATGCAATTAGTGCAGTCAGGCTGGAATGGTACCCATTTAGTGACAACCACTACGTGCAGAAGCTGATCAGCTCCGCGTTTGACTACATTGTCAATGCATTTTAAAGAACAGATACTCCAGCTGCTCAGCCACAAGCCAAAAAACCCAGAGCACTTTTCTCAAGCAAACATGTCTAGTCTGTAGGAAAAGCCTATTATGTCAGAGGCACATACAACTGCCAGAGATTAAGCACGGCTGGGTTAAGAGTTTTGCTAGGATGTCCCAGAGCACGCTGCAGAAAACCGAGTACAGGGCAGCAGCACGACAGGTGGGAAGCGTCTGACCTGCAACTAGTACATCTGTGCTAAGTGACGGGCGGCCGAGACAGAAAACCAAAAGGATGGCTTTGCAGGAATCTGGGAGGGGGCAGCCAGTGCTTGCAAAGGCTGCTTAGTATCAATAAAGTGCTCTCTATTGCAAAGCAGCAAAATGCAAGCACCACCCCCCGGCACATCCATCTATGATACTGGTTTATCTGACACCCAGTTCCTGGGCGATAGCTTTGCTCCACAGAGCCACTATGGAGGCTTGCTGAATAGGAAAAGACGGCCAGATTAAAGAGAACGCAGTGTGGCTCTATGGAGTTGCCTTTTAAAACACAGTGGCTAATTGCAACCTAACTAATATCAAGCCAGCATGCTGCCTTGGTACTCACCCATGAAGTCATAGGGAGGGAATGGAGCGCCAGTGATGGGGGAGGAGGGGCATAGATGTTGCTGAGGTTTAGTTCTTTGAACTTCTTTCCAATCAGACTCAGCGCTTTATCTACATGATGCTGAGAGCCTGGAAGACAGCAACCCAGTCGAGTTAGTCATCAGGATGTATTGGACAAGCCCTGTGGCTACACCTTTGTGCCAAAGCTACTCCAAGATGCCTCACCACTCGATTACCAGGCCACCCAGGTTCCCTTCTATTCCTCCAGCTCTCGGCCCCATCCCAGAAAGCTGAGATGTTTTCATTCCCTGTGCTTAGTAAAACTATTTCATTGATAGCCTTTATGCTGACCATTTCAATGCCAGAAGAGTCCAGCCACCCCTCCTATCGCAAAAGCTGGACCCATTAGATCCCATTCACTGCTTCGAAACTCTCAGCCAGCCCCCGACCCAAACCTGGGTAGTGGAAGTGCAAGGGTTAGCATTTCAGATTAATGCAATCTAACAGATGAATGCCTCCTCTGTCAACGAGTGCTAACAGCAACAGCACCATCAGCAATAAATGTTAGAGGCTTTCAAGGGCTACAGTGCTCAGGGCAATCAAACCTCAGTGTGGGGCTTTGTTGTGTTTTTTTGTTTTTAAAATAGGCCTTTTAGATAGTTCAGTTAAATGGTTTTCACAGCAGTCCAACTGCTTATAAGAGTCTCTTCATGCTAGTTTATTTCTCAGCGACTTGGAAAAACGCGTACAATAAAGTTGTGCGTCGCAGGAGTATCTACAGCTCGTCCAAGAGAGCACATCTAGCTGTGGCAGGTGTTGTACAAAACACAAAATGCAAGTCTCTGCCCCGAAAAGCAGCAGTCTCAATAGGAAAGGACATTGACTCTATTTGTGTGATCTAGGCTGCAAATTGGACATTTCTTCCTTTTTTGGTCTCATACACTATTTAACTTCTCAGTTAATTCACAGGAACAAAACACTAACAAAATTACAAAGAGAGGCTTGGTGTCTCCAGCCAGCACTATGTGCAGACACCTGGCTAGCAGCTCAGAAATAGGGGAAGGGTTTTTCCCCGCCCCACGAAAAACTTTCCCTGGAAGAAGTGGTACTGTCGATCTTGCTAGAGTCTAGTTGAACACAACTACTAGTCAGTGTATGCACACAGCATACAGAAGCCCTGCTAACAGCGTGAATCAGAGCAGGCCCCAGTGAATACAGAACCAGGCATACAGTATACTTCTGTGCACAGTAGCTCATTACTTTTACAGAGGAGCCTCCAAAGCCAACAGACAGAGTGAACCAATGCCACCAATAAGAGACCACCAAAACAAAAACCAAAAAGCAAAACACCCCAAAAAAGAGAGCGACCTGGCCAGAGGTATCCGGTGGGAAGGTTGCACTAATTCATGAGAAGTATGACATGGATGTGGATGCGGAGGATGTCACTGAACGCGAGACGTTAGCTGAATGTGCTGTGAACACAATGTTTTGAGCACTTCATAAAAAAGGGGGCCTGGGAACCCCTAAACTTCGTACTGGGCTTAAGCGTTATGTTCACGCCTGTATCACACCAGCAAAAACGACCTGTCCAGCACAGTGTGCAGCTGGTCATGGATGCTAGTGCCTAGCCTTGCTTATGAACACTAAGCCTGGATGGGTTTTTATTACCAAGAACTGAAGCCTGCAGTCTCTTCCCTGAAATACCAAACCCGTTAGAGGTATAGCATCACAGATGGTATCCTGACAGCGCGTGTACAGACCATCCAACCCAAGGGCTGACATGACTGGTAATACCTCACTCCAGAACAATATTAACTGATTCACATAACAACACTGCTGGGGTCCTACAGGTACCCCTTTGACTAAGCATTCATTAAGGTAGAAGTGTATTTTAAAACATGCACCGATATCATAGCTTTAGACAAGGCAGTTCTTGTTTAACACATTACAACGTGCACTAAGACGCACCTTCTTTCCTGCTGCACACGCCGCTTTAGCTTGCTGCTATCTGCAGCACAAGGGGTCTGTTGCTATTTAGACCACTCTCTACTGGTGGGTACAGAGCAGAATTTGGAGCAAAGGACCTAGACCCGGGCCCATAGTGCCCCTGAGCAACAAGAGCCTTCTTTCCCCCCGCCCCAAAGAACCACAGCACCTCTCCAGAGCGGAGCAAGATATCACCGCAGAGCCGCCAGCTAGACAGGGCTATTCAAGAGCCGGTGCTTTCCTGTGTGCATTTCACACCCCGGTCACAGAGTAGCTGCTGTAGTGGGGCTGCATGCGCTCTGGTCGGTGGGCAGCAGTGGCTGCTGTCTGCCACTGGAGGCAGGCAAATACAGGCATCGCCTCCGTGTTACGCTGAGACGACAGTAATTCTTCACCCATTTATAGCTACAGTGCCCTCCAGGCAACCAAAGCCAAAAAAACCCCCCAAAAAACAGTTCCCCTCACCTTCTATGTGGCAAATCTGGAAGTCTTGGGTGTACGGTAGTGTTGAGATATAGATTTTGGCACCGGACGTTTGCTTCAGGAAACTCACGTACCTCCCCTGCTTGCCAATCAACCGGCCAACCAAGTGCTTTATTGAAAGACAAGACGGAGAAATTAGTCAGGAGGGTGAACAGCACCATCAGCCTTTAATTTATTTCACCTACAAGGACAGCCTGCTCCCGTGGCCTTTTACAGCTGGCAAAAAACCCAGTTAGTGCTAAGCCTAGGGAGATTATTTGGAAGCTCAAGGCAGGACCTGCTGGAGGTTTTGCAAACACCATCTTTCTGACCTGTAAAAGGGAAGTGCAGTGAAGGCGTTAATGGCCTGGTACAGACCACTGACTCCAGTACTGATGAAACTGCACTTCCACTGAATACACCCACTTAGGAAGGTTTTTAATGTTTAGCTCCTTGCATATGCTACTTTGGGAAACATCAAGTCTGTCCCCACTGGGCTGTGAAATAGATGCTTTTAATGCCCAGGTGCGGCCGTGTCTAGGTTATACTGCGCATCCTCTCCCTCAAAACACACGCGGTCTTGGTATGCAGTTGCACCAGCAGCAGGTGCACGGTCTCTAAGCTGCAAAGGCAGCCTGCTTCACCCATGGGAAAGCAGACTCCTTCTGTTGCTCAGCTAGGGATCTTCAGGTTGACTCCAAGGCGTGGACCATTTCCAAAAGGAACTAGTGAAATCATTCGTGGCTTCAACGCTTGAAGCTACAAAACCAAGCCTTAGGAACAGAGGAAGGGAAAGGTCTGGAGAAGGCACGGAGCACCCTTTCCCAACCCTAGAGAAAACGGATGTGCGCAGAGACGTTATCAGTGTTGGCTCTTGTAAAAGAGCTGGGCCCAACCTTCAGAGCTGGAGCAGAGAACATGGGAAGGCAATTTAAAGCTCTCCTTGTACACAGAAGCCTTAGCAGGCCCTCTACCAGTCCTCTGAGCTTCCCAGCTGGTATTTTAAGTACTTTAAGCTCATCACCCCAAGAACAGGGAAGCCTGACGCACATTATAGACACGGGGAAGCACAGAAGTGCCAAGACCCGGATCCAAAAGATAACTGGGTGTCAGAATAACCTCAAGTACAACTCATCATAGGAGTCGGACATCAAGACACCCACATGGCTTTGGCCCCAAGTCTTTGCAAGAGGTCAGGTGAGGCCAGGCCTAGAAGCCAGGTGATGACACCCTATCCTTTCCAACTACTACAAGTTTTCTAGGGTCAGTGCATGGAGACACCGACACCAGGTGCTTGGCTTGTTACCTTTGGCACCTCTATCTCCCAGATAGCGAGCTCCGACTTATTTGATTCTACTCCTGGCTTGGAGTTCTGGCGAGTCTCCGTCTTCCCAAGGGCACAGCCACTGTCCACTGAATCCATGCTGTTTACATCTGAACCTGCAAAAAAAGACCACAGTTTACAGATAACTCGTACAGTCCATCACTGGATGGCTTTCCAGACTCTGCTTCACATGGTGAACTAAAGTTTAGGCCTCACACTAAACATTAGCCTATTGTGTTCCTACATTAGAGGCCCAACATTCAGATTTTCTATTCCTTTTCAAGAAAAGGAATCAAGACTTTGGCCCTCCCTTACACGACTTAGTCGAACAGACAGCCTTGTGTACCACACACCCTCCTGAACAATACAATATGTGAGATGGATACTTAAAGCGAAGTTACGTCTTCTTAGCAGAGAGGTTTCCATTACATAATAATAGGCAGAGCATAGCACTGCGGCAGGCACATACTATTACAAGGTAAAAATCAACACCGGCAGCCACGGGCCATTACTAGAAGCAAGCAATATCCATGCTGCAGAAGCAAAAGATGTTTCTCTACAATTGAAATATTAGCCTGAGAGGGATTTGTCCATTATACTCAGAGCTACTCAATATCTACTCAGTATCTGGGAAAGGAGGCAGAGCCTTCTCACTCAGAGGCGAAGCTGACACCACATTTCTGCAGTCATGAGCCAGGGTAGAAGCAATGGGCAGGGTGAGCCAGTTTTAAAAGATTTAAACCTAGAGGTGGGTAGCAGGGCATCTGTCCTTGCTGCGAAGCACCCCTGGACCTTCAGCCGTCTGTTCAGAGGAAGGGTCCTGGTCTACTGCAACAGAGCCTGCAAGTGTTGTGAAGAGTTTCTGCTCCATCTTATGAAGTCAAGACAGGGACACGCTTATATTTGAAAAGGACAAGACTGGAAGCTGCCAGCTTCTTAATAAAACAGAACAGCCTTCATACGTTGCAAGGGAGATGCAGGTAAATCACTGAAAGGATAAGAGGAGCACTGGTCCCACTATTTACTATTTGCTCAGAGCTCCTGACAAAGGTTTGGCAGTGACAGGCAGGGATTTATGCTGCACAAAGAGGGTGTAGAAGGTAGCAGCATAGCTTTGCATCATCTTGCACTCTCCTAGTAGCCTCTTTCCTTATTATCCCCCCCCAGCATTCAATATGTATCCTCCCACTATATTAAAACAAACCCAGTGGAGTTGCACAAGGTACGACTTCAGGCCCTGCACTGGAGCTCTGTTCTCTTGGCTATTCCTATAAAGCACCGCACCTGCAGGGCCAGGCCATCGTCTTTTTATTCACCCTCACAGCAAGCAGCAGCATCTCTCATAGGGCTAACCCCAAACTCCCAGTAAAGACAGCAGAGCCTGCAATCTAGCAGCAGGCAGTTGCCTGGTGGGGATTATAAAATGCATCCTATCATTAAAGACTGTTTGCCCAGCAGGGTCCTGCAGCTTTTAAGAAGGCTAAAAGGTTAATGGTTGTATTGGCCCACACACAATTATCTGTGTTGTGTCACACTAGGAACAAACCACCCAGTACCTAAGAGGGAAAGA